GGGCCTAGACCCTTCTTCAGAAAAAGACCCTTTTTCTGAAGAAGGGTCTAGGCCCGAAATGTCAGCCTTCCTGCTCCTCTGATGCTGCTTGGCCTGCTGTGTTCATCCAGCTCTACACCTTGTTATCTCAGATTCTCCAGCATCTGCAGTTCCTACTATCTTTGATATATAAACTGATCTTTTTTAGGTCATCAAGATGTAATGAATTATCTACTACTGTGATTGGTGCTGGGATCGCAACTATTTACAATTTATATAAATGAAGGGCCAGCAGGTACCAAATTTGCTGACAACACAAAGATATGTAGGAAAGTAAGTTGTGAAAAGGACACAAGGATGTTACAAAAAATAGTAATAAGCTAAGTGAATGGACAAAATGGGATACAATGTGGGAAAATGTGAAATTGTCTATTTTCAGCAGGAAGAATAAGAAAAAGCATATTATCTAAATGGTGAGAGATTGTAGAGCTCCAAGATGTAGACATATTTGGGTGTCGTTATGCATGAATCACAAAAGGTTGGTATGCAGGTACACCAAATAATTAGGATAACTAACAAAATGTTATCAATTACAGAATATCAATTACAGGATTTAAATACAGAAGTAGGGATGTTATGCATCAGTTATTCAGGGCACTAGTGAGACTGTATCTGGAAAACTGCACACAATATTGGTTACCTTATTTAAAGAAGGATGGAAATGCACTGGAAGCAGTTCAGAGAAGATTTACTCGACTAATAGCATGTATAGGTGGATTGGCTTAAGAGAAGAGGCTGGACAAGCTAGACTGTATCTGCTGGAGACGACTTGATTGAAACATATAAAATTCTGAGGTGTCTGGACAGGGTGTTGTGGAAAGGATGTTTCATCCTATGGGTCAATCTAAAATTAGAAGTCACCGTTTAAAAGAGATTAGGCGAAAGGTATTATCTTACAGCATTGAGAGTCTTTGGAGCACTCTTCCTGTAATGTTGGCAGAAGCAGAGTCCTTAAATCTTTTTAAGGCAGAAGCAGATAGATTTTTGTGAAGGAAGGGGCTAAAAAGCTTTTGTCTGTAAGTAGGAATGTGAATTTAACGTTATATTCAGCCATGATCTTAGATAATGGCAGAGCAGGTTCAAGGGGCTAAATGGTCTACTCCTGCTCCTGATTTGTGAGCTTGTAACTATTCCAATGGTGGAGAGTTAGTAACCAGAGGGCACAATCACAGATGAATAGCAAAAGAACCAGAGGCAACAGAATTCTTTTAACATAGCAAGCTGTTGTGATCTGGAACATCTGAAATGTGGTGAGGTAAGATTCAAGATTAACATTCAAAAGTGCATTGGATTTGAAAGGCATAGAATTAAAACACAACAGGAAGAGCGCAGGGAATGTAATTAATTGTATAATTCTCCCAAAAACTGGGAAAGGCACAGTGGGCCCCCTTCAGTCCTTTCTCATTCAATGGGCTAGATTTTCTGGCCCTTTTTTTGAAAGACAGAAGAGAGCTCTGCATTTCTTAGAGTAGATTCCACTTAGATATCCCTCAGAAATGAGGAGATGTAATTCCTTTCTGACAGTTAGTTTGTAGTATAGAAGTGTCAGAGGAAGGCAAACCATGCCCCTTTTCTCAGCAGTTAGCTGCCATAATCTGAAATTTAGAGGTCCAGACAGCTACTTTGACAGCTGCTGTCAAAAAGGGAGCACATAAGGTAAATGTAAGGATGCTGGAAAGTTTGGGTGTCAAATGGGTAGGGGTGTTGGGGGTGAGTTAAGAGGGTGCCAACCAGGGAGGTGGTGGATAGGATGCCACTTAGGGAGGGGGTGAGGGCAAGGTGCATGATGGTAGTTAAGTATTTAGGAAAGGATGTAGTTTGCTGGGGGAATTGAATCCGCTGGGGGTGGGGAAGACAAGAATCAGGTCTGGATGGGGTTTGGATCCGGCAGTGAGAGTGTTGCATCAGGTCTGATGGGGAGACGGGAGGGAGCATCATTTTGAGTCCAATCGGGCAGGCAGAGGGGTCCAGATGGACAGGTCCAGCAGCAGTGTTGGATTGGGTCGGTCACTGTGGGAGAGATAGGGGGGTTCATTTGTGTCCAATGGTTATGTGCAAGGTGGGAGGTAGGATTCATTCTCGTGGTGGTGGTAGGGAGGTGTTTGGGGATTGGGCCAAGTGTTGTCAGGTCCCGGGAGGGGATATCAAGTCCAAAATGGAGGATTTCGGGTCTTTAGGGAGTGTTTGGTCAGGGTCTGGAATTGTTAGGAGTCTGAGGTTTAGGTAAGTATGAGGTCTGTTGAATAGTTACTCAGGAATTAAACCATATATTTAATAGTCTAACTTTTCGTGAGTAGCTATGCACAACTCCAATCGACGCTGGAACAGTGACTGTCTGGCCAGTGGAATATCTGTCCCTATGATTCTATAATATATGCAGCTTTGCCACAATATACAGCATGAAATCACTCTCACAGAAAGTAATGACTGCTGTATCCTCAACACCCGAACACTATGGGATGGATCATACGGTGGAGGAGAACTCCATACATCCCAATGTAACTGGCTTGCCCTGCTTTAATTATTCAGGTGATGGTCCTTTAAACAGTATAAGGCTGGCCCTCTGTCTATCTCGAGGATGTCATACATTAATTACCATTCGAGGGGCCTCAACAGGGCTACGTGTTGGTGGCCCACCTGCACGTTCCCATTACTTATGAAATTCAGATAGGCGTGGGTATGCAGATTACAGGCTAATTGGTGGTAAAATAAAAACAAAATATTCTGGATGCTAGGGATCCAAAATTAAAACAGAACATGCCAGAGAAACTCAGCAGGTCTAGCAGCATCTGTGGAGACAGTAACGTAGTTAATGTTTTGAGACCAGTATGACTGTCAAATCGGACTCACATGTGAACTTTGTTTCTGTCTTCACACCTACTGCCAGCCTTGCTGAGTTTCTTCAGTACTTTCTGTTTGTATTTTACCCACACCTTATGGGTCCACGCATTTGCTTTCTTGCCCATGACCGTTCCTTAAATTGCAGACCTATTTGTTCAGTTTGATTGGCAGGAATTTGCTTTGTACATTGACATAACATATTCAGGCTTGCTTCAGTATATACTACGCTTGAATTTGAAAATTATGAAAATTTAGGATGAGCTTAAAATAGGATGTTGATCAGCACCTCAACAATGATCTGTCGATATTCAGGCTGGACAATGTCTTGTAAAGTGTCTTCTACGAGGAGTGAAAAGTTCATCTCATACATGGTCATGTCTGATAAAGTTGGCTGCTGCAGAAACAAATATGAGTTTATGTTAGGCAGAACGCTTGCTGAAGAAAAGCAATATAAATCTTCATCCACTTATAAACCTTTGTTTCTTGCTGAAAAGGTTATCAAGTATGCTTTCATAAAGTGACTAAAACTCTGAGGTTATCACACTATTAGATGCTCAACACTATTATTTTAGTTACGTCTGGAAATCTGATGATTACCATGAACATTTTATTCCTTTTCTTATAAAGCAGTATTGTGAGAATGTGTGCCCTAACATCCACAAAAAGTAACTTATGAAGACTAAATAAGTTTAGAGAAAACAGTTAAATGTCAGCTTACAAAAAAATGTCAGAATGAAAGCATGCAATTTATCAGTTAATTACCAGATATTAGTTGCCAAGATGATCAGTTAATTACTAGAGTGATAGTTATAATGATTCTTCAAAAATACCGACTTTGCATACTAGCCACCAGAATTAAGTTTACTAAAAAAAACCACAATAAGACAGCTCTTCTCGCATTATACCAGTGCCTCAGGGTACATCTTGCAGCTGGGGAGAAAATCAGATAGGCAGCTCATCTACCAGTTTCATCAATCACCTGCAGCACTTTGAGATTTTTCCCCGGAAGTGAAAAAACTAAAATGCATTCTCCTTAATATGAGACATGTGCTCCAATGAGATGGAAATCATAGCACTAAGTTACAGAACACGTTCCAAGTTATTGCGCCATTGCAACATTTGACACTGGGAGAAAACATGCTTGCAGTGTGCAGGTTGCCATGGGTGTGTATAGGCCATTTCAGAATCACTTTTTGATCAGTTACAGGGCAATGTTGGCATGAACATGGATGTAGAGCTTTGCTGAAGGTTTGACTATAAAATGAAAATGCTAGAGGATACTGTCGTATGATTTAAGTACTTGGGGCAGATGTTTTCCAGTCACTATGATGCCTTCAGGGGTCCTCTCCAGAATCTGCCATACTCTGTCATAGAAACCCTTTGGAGTACGATTCAAGGAGCCATCAAGATGACGCCTGTTTTTCCATGACCTGAAGGGAAAGAAAAAATGTCTCCTCATTCTGCATTTTTAAAGAATTAGGTATATGAAAACAAAATTTGCTATGAATGAAATGTACAGAATTATTACATGTAAATGTGACCATTTTGACATGATGCAAAGGAACTGTTGGAATTTGATCAATGAAATTCCAAATAAAAGAAGAATGTCCAATTGAAATTCTGTAACATTCTATCTAAATGTGATCTCCTCCGATCTCTCTCTGGACCATGACCCCACCATTGAACACCAGGCTATTGTGTTCATAATGGTCAGTAATCTCATTTCTCCCCTACCCCCAATCCACCACTGCCTCCAAGCTCACAGTCCCCCAGCACACACAGCCTACTTCTACCTCCTACCCAAAATACGCAAACAGGACTGCCGGGCAGATCCTTTGTTTCTGTCTATTCCTGCCCCAAGCAACTCATCTCTTCATACTTCTAATCAATTTTTTCTCCCCTTGTGTAGTCCCTTCCCACTTATATCTATGATTCCTCTGACACGACGTCAGTTCCAGTTTGCAGGCTCCAGCCACCTCCTCTTCACTACTGATGTGCAATCTCTTTATATGCCCATCCCCCATCAGGATGGTCTCAGGGGTCTCTGCTTCTTCCTGGAAAAAGGCCTGAACTGTACTCATTCGCGACTACCCTCCTCTGCCAGGCCAAGCTCGAACTCACTCTGAGCAACTTCTCCTTTAACTCATCTCACTTTTTTCAGGTCAATGGTGTGGTCATGGGTACCCGGATGGGCCCCAGTTACATCTGTCTCTTTGTGGGGTTTATGGAAGAATCCTTGCTGCAATCTTATTCAAGTCCCTCCTCACAACTCTTTCTTTCATACATCGATGACATTGTTAGTGCTGCTTCTCTCTCTTGTCCAGAATTGGAAAAGATTATTAATTTCCCTTCCAATTTCCACCCGGCTCTGACCTTTACCTGGTCCATATGACTCCTCCCTTCCCTTTCTTCACATCTCTGTTTCAATTTCTGGGAAAAGGCTGGCCACCAATATCCAATAAAACCCCACCATCTCCCACAGTTATCTTGACTATACATCCTCACACCCTGCTCCTGTAAAGACTCCATTACATTCTCCCAGTTTCTCAGTCTCATCTGTTCCGAAGATGCCAGTGTCTACAGGCAGCCTCTGAAATTTACACTTTCTTCCTCAAACAAGGATTCCCCATCACTGTCATTGACAGGGCCCTCAGCCATGTTTGATCTATTTCCCACACTTTGGCCCACATCCCTTCTCTTTTTTCCCACAACACCAATAGGATCCTCCTGGTCTTCACTTACAACCCCACCAGCATCCACATCCAAAGGATTGTTAGCCACCATTTCCCCTACTTTCAGTGGGATACTACCACCAGACACATATTTCCCTCACACAAAACCATGTTATCACTAATCATTCCTTGCCTCTCCAAATGCATGTGAATCCTACCTTTCAGAATCACCTCCAACGACGTCCTTAATTTTTTAAAAATTCATTCACAGGATGAGGGCATCACTGGCCAGGCAGCATTTATTACCCATCCCTAATTGCCCAGAGGCCAGTTAAGAGTCAACCACATTGCTGTGGGTCTGAAGTCACATGTAGGCTAGACCATGTAAGGATGGCAGTTTCCTTCCTTAAAGGGCATTAGTGAACCAGACGGGTTTTTCCTGACAATCGACAATGGATTCATGGTCATCATTAGACCCTTAATTCCAGATATTTATTGAATTCAAATTCCACCATCTGCCGTGGTGGGATTTGAACCCGGGTTCCCAGAACATTATCTGGGTCTCTGGATTAACGGTCCAGTGATAATAATACCACTAGGCCATCACCTCCCCGCTTGAAATTATTGAAAAATTCTCAAATGAGTGAAAGATTAAACTAGATATTGCAAAGAATATGGACCTGGCTGATTGTTGTGAAGCAGTTTATTAGCGATACCATTTACATACAAAGCAAATAATGTGCCTCAGCATCTTGTGTACATCATTATTTTATGTAATGGATCAGCTGCCAGAAAACCCACTATGTCGACAGCACTAGGATTTATAGTGTCAGAACAGCATTTAGTAGCTTAAGAGTTTTTGTTAAAAAAACACACTTACCATCTTCCCCTTCAAGCCACAAGCAGAATATAGGTTGCAGAAGGCAAATTAATTTGTCTCATTTTCTACATTCAATTTGGCCATCTGCACCATTTAAAATCTATTTTAGTCTCCCTTTACAGAGGTGTACAAGCTATAAAATGTTTTAAGCTGTTAAATGTAGAAGCTGAAGATTTATATTCTAATGCTCTACAAATGCTGGTGTTAATAGCTTCTGCACTCATTTCCATAATATTCTGATATAAATTTCATGCAATTTGCTTTTCCCTGAATTAAGCATTTGTAACTCAGTAGTGATACTGATATTTCCATTATTTCCTCTGTAGATTGTTTCAATATTCATAGCATTTGTGAATACAGCTGAAATACTCATTTAAATTCTCAACTCAAGTTTTGACACTTACAAAGAGATCAGTTATATGCTACGCGTTTGAATCACGAAAGCATAATTTGAAAAAAATATATTTAGATTGAGGAATGTTGATAATGTAGCTTAAAAATTTATTTACAGCATTTTTATCTAACTTATCTCCAATAATCAAACACCCATGATCACAATTTTATATCCTCAAATCAAATCTAACCTTTACAAAGTAATAAAAGAGAATTTCTATTCATATTGTAATTTTCTTGACTTCTGGACATCCCAAAGTACTTTATGGTCAACTAAATAATGGTTTAAAATGTGGCCATCATTGTAATGCAAGACAACTTGGTATTTGACATCAGGATCCTGGAAACGACAAGTGACCAGATATAGCAAGAACTGCTGATGCTGGAGTCAGAGACAATACAATGTGGAGCTGGAGGAACACAGCAGGCCAGGCAGCATCAGTGGAGCAGGAAAGCTGACGTGTCAGGTCGGGACCTTTCCTCAGAAAGGCCCAAAAGGGAAAGGGTCTCTTTGCTAAATATCTCACTCAAAAGACAGCACATTTCAACAGTACTCAGTTGCCATGTTATTTGATTGATTCAGAGTACCTGTCATGTTGGTCAGGCTGCAGAGTATCCAGAAGAAGCTTTTTGACATCACTTGGTGACATCTGGTACACATAATCGTCAGACAGATTCTCACTTTGAATCTTTAGTTCATGTTTCATTGCATGAATGATCCATCTGTAGTAAAAGCAGAGAAAACATCACAAATTTATAGCACAGAATGAGGACATTTGACTCATCAACTTTTGTAACCCAAAAAAAGTCATCAATCCTATGCCCACTGCCCAGACACGGTCCATGGAAGCAATGGGGATACAAAATTGGCTGAGGGTTTAGAAAATATTCATGACTGATGGGTATTTTTCTGGTTAAAAGGTGGTTGGTAGTGGAGTTCCCATGGGTCAGTTTTGGGACCTTTGCTTTGATATATATGATATACATTTGTTGTGTCGGGGGCAATTTCAAAGTTTGCAGATTTCACAAAACTCGGGAGATCTGAAACCTGTGGGGTGGCCTGACTGTACAGGAGGCAAGGAAGAAGAAAGCAGGAATCTTAGTAATAGGGGATTCATTATATAGGCATTACTGTCACAATAGACAGGACTCCAGGGTGTGTGTTGCCTCCCTGCTGCCAGGGTCAGGGATGTCATTGAGTGGCTGCAGGGCATCCTAAAAGGGGAGGATTATAAGACAAATTGGTATTAATGCTTTGGTAGAATGCAAGGTGAGGTCTTGTATCAAAAATTTAGGGAGCTAGGCAACGGACTAAACAGCAGGGTCTCAAAGGCTGTAATCTCTGGATTACTCCCAATGCCACGTGCTAGTGGGTACATCTGCTGTATAGGGCAGATGAATGCATGGCTCAGGATTTAGATTCTTCAATCACAGGGATCATTTCTGGGGAAAGTGAACCTGTATCAGTGGGCTGGTCTGCACCTGAACCTGAATGGGACCAATATCTTTGTAGATGAAGGGTCTAGGCCCGAAACGTCAGCCTCTCTGCTCCTATGATGCTGCTTGGCCTGCTGTGTTCATCCAGCCCTGCACCTTGTTGTCCCCAATATCTTTGTAGGTTGGTTTGCTAATGCTGTTGGGAGAATTTAAACTAGGTTGGCAGTGGGAGGGGACAAAGCATTCAGTAGGGACACAGCATACTTTAGGAAAGGTACCAAGGCAGACGGTGTTCAGCCCCATGTGGCCTCTATTTTAATGTCAGGCAAGACGGACAAGTTAAGGGTATGACAAACAGGAGGCTGGAAGAACACAGCAAGTCAGGCAGCATCAGAAAAGAAAAATCAACGTTTTGGGTATTACCCTTCTTCAGGACCGAATGTACGGGCAGGGGCAGCTGGAGATAAACTTGGGGGATGGGGAGCGGGGTAGTGGAATGGTGGTGATAAGTGATCACTGGTAGTAGGTACGACATGGTTGGTTGATGGGAGGGATGAATCTGGTTGGTGGCTGGAAGGGAAGGTCAGTAGATGGAATGGAAGGGAAAAAGTGGGGCTGGAAAGGGAGCCGGGGGATGGGTGGAAAGGTAATTTGAAATTAGAGGACTCAGAATCGAGTCCTCCCGGCCATAGGGTGTCCAGGTGGAAGATAAGGCATTGTTCCTCAAATTTGCATTCTGAGTCGCTGCGACAAGGTAAGAGTGTGGACTGACACATGGATTGGGATGTTGTGCATGTTGAGAGATATGGTTGAGGGAAGGGCAGGACTGGCAAATCAACATTGCAGTGTGCATAGGCTTTGCAGACAGGATAGGAGAGGGTGTAAAAGAGGAGGTGGTGTTGCATCGTTACTTAAGGAGCCAGTAACTGCAGTAAGGGGGGACCATATCCCTCGAAAGGTCTTCAAATGTGGATTTGTGGGTAGAGCTTAGGAATAAAAAGGAAGCAGACACACTGCTGGGAGTGTATTTTTAGCCCCCAAAGAGTCAACAGACAATACAGGAGCAGATATGTCAATAATTCGCTGAGGTGTGTAAGAACAATAATTGGTTAATTATATTATTGGATTTCTACTTCCCAAACATTTATGATTTAAGTATATTATTGAAAAGGAAAAAGAAGGTCGACAAAAAAGGGCTTTGGAATGTGGGAAGGCAGATTTTATTAAAATAAGGCAGAATCTGGCCAAACGAGATTGGGAACAGCTACTTCTAGGTAAATCTACAGCAAAATAATGGGGGCATTCAAAAAGGAAGTGGGGAGAAAACAAAGGCTAGGAATACTGCAGTGACTAACTCATCTCCTGACTCCCCAAAGCCTGTCACCATTTATAAGGCAGAAGAGTGCGATGGAATACTCTCCAACTGTCTGCATGAGTGCAACTCTAATAACACTTAAGAAGCTCGACACTATCCAGGACAAAGCAGCCCACTTAATTGGCACCACATTCTCAAACATCAACCACTCTTCACTATCACCAATGCTCAGTTGCAGCAATGTGTATTATCTACGAGATGCACTGCAAAAATTCACTAAAGTTCCTTAGACAACACCTTCAAAACCCATGACCATTTTCATCTAAAAAGACAAGGGTAGTAGATACTTGGGAACGCCACCATCTGCAAGTGTCCCTCAAGCCACTCACCACCTTGATTACAAAATATATCTTTCACTTATATATCCTGTTCCTTCACTATTGTTGGATTAAAATCCTGGAATTCCCTACCTAACAACATTAAGAGTCAATCTACAGCACAGGGACTGAAGTGCTTCTTGAAGTAAAGGCAGCTCACCACCACCTTCTCAAGGGCAACTAAGGATGGGCAATAAATGCTGGTCTGCCAGTGATGCCATGTTAATGAATGAATAAAAAAACCCTACATTCCATGATATCCAGTCAGTTTAAAACTATTCTTATCTATAGAAAGATCATGTACTTGATCTAATTCCATGACATAAAATCAGATGAAGGAGGAGTGAGAAAATATAAATAAAACATCTAGTTTTATCCAATTTTCTAAGTACATTGCACAACCAATTTGTAGTCCAGTAATTTCTATTAAGTAAGCAAGTAAGTCAGATATCACATGCACAAGGTCCCACACACAGTAAGAAGACAAGTTCATCTTTCCTTGGATGTTGAAAAGGAGGATTCAGGAAGGAGGCCAGGATTGACTGACACTTTGTGCTCTTCTTCAAATTGTGCAGTGTGTCTTAAATGGAACTTCGTTTAATTTCTTATTCAAAGATTCCACTCTCTTCTTGAGCAATGTGGGAAACAGCAAAAAAGAGTTGGAAAATATGAAGACAGTGAGAACCAGAATCTTGACATCTACAGAACAGTTTCCCATTGTCTCCTCAAGGTTTAAACAGTGAGTTCAGACTCTCACAAGCGGCAACTACTTTCTTTCCATGCATTCGGATCTTACGATTAGCCCAACTCATCTCTTTTATATGCAGCTTCCAATTCTTACCAGAGTCCCTTCCTGGGTCTTGTCATGAGATGCAGCTCCTGGTTTGCAGGTGTGCAGCTAGGCTTTAAGTATGGGGCTAGTGGCGCGAAGATCGTAGGGTTCTGGCAACAATGAGCATTTCCACCTCTCCTACCACACAATTCCACATCAAGGGCTCCCTACAGTCCAGATACGTAAATAATAAAGAGTGGAAGATTGCTTTAAGAGCCATGATGGACCAGGCATCATGAATTGCACTCAAAAAAGCAATGTGAAAATAGAAAAATGCAGCCCAGTATATTCAGCTCTGCACTGTCATATTTAGATTATTTGCTCCTGTTTTGGAATAGGGCTTGAACCACAATTTCCTCAGTCAGCAATGAGAATGCTAGCTTTGAGGTTAGGAAAGAGGTGTCAAGCTAATGATAAAATATGGCCTATTAATTTCCAACTTTCATTATCTGAATTTAATATCCAAGATTTTAACGGACTAAAACATTTTGTTAAAAAAGAAGAAAAAAAGACCCGAACGTGAATACAAGATGTTGGCAGGGTAAGTTGCTCCATTTGGAGCTACACTCTGCTCGCCAGTTCTCTTCCTCTTTCTTTCTTTGTCCATTTTTTCCAACCTTCTTCTCTCTCTCTCTCCATAGTAATTCTAATCTCTCCTACACCCCTTTTAACTACCTACTTAAGGAGTTGGGAAGGAGCCGGATTGCAACCGGGAACCACGTGGTGGAAGCTGAATGCGTGGGTTGTGTCCTGCAGCAATGGCAGATCAAGTGTGGGCCAGAGCGATGGCAGTAGATCAAGAGTGGGCCGGCGACAGCGGGCCCGTGAGGCAGCAGCGGCCAGATCGGGCCAGTGAGGCAGCGTTGACGAGATCAGGCCCGTGAGGCAGTGTTGACGAGAGCGGGCCCGTGAGGCAGCGGTGGCCAGATCGGGCCAGTGAGGCAGCGTTAACGAGATTGGGTCCGTGAGGCAGTGGCAGCCAGATCAGGCCAGTGAGGCAGCGTTGATGAGATCGGGCCAGTGAGGCAACCGAGAGAGAGCCGATGAGGCAGCGGTGACAAGTTTGAGCCAGTGAGGCAGCCCAGAGTGGGACGCAGGCAGCGCCATGGTGTGGCTTGGAAAGCCCTGAGTGGGACTGCGGCAGTGGAAAGAAAAGTTGGAAAGAAACAAAACTGTTTGAACTGATATCAATAATTTATCTAAAGACAGTGAAACCAGTCAATTGAGTCAGTTGTCAAGAAACTTGCACTTCCTGCTTTACATTACACTGGAATGGGAAGCTGCACAGATTGGATATCAAAAGGTTTCTATGTTAAAACACATAATTTTAGTCACTGCTTGGCAGGGCAGAGAAAGACTGAGAGAACGAAAGTGGAGCGTTAACAGAAAGGACTGAAAGACATTTTCTCTCCACCTGTTTCCTTTTCATCTTACAGGCTAACACCAGGGTTAAAACAAATTAGAAACATTCACTGAGATCTCAAGGATTCTACAAATTTCACAACTGCTAAGAATGTAAGACATCAACTAACTACTTTAGTCTCAGGAGCAACTGTAAGAATGCAAGGACTTTTTAAACTGCACATTGTTTATTTTGATAATGTACTAAATCCTCTTTTTTCCTTCTATTCATTCATGGGATGTGGGTGTCACTAGCTTGGCCATCATTTATTGCCCGTCTGTATTTGCCCAGGGCAGTTAAGAGTCAACCAAATTGCTACGAGTCTGGACTTACACATAGGCCAGTATTGGTCGTGTCTTT